CCAGCCCTATCTAGTTTAGTGAACCGCCATCAACCAGCACCCTCCTATACTCAGTTCCCGACAATGCCTGTCCTCCTTGGATTGTCTGTCAGTCCCTGACGTTTGTGGGGAACCTCATAAAGCAATAATTAAGAGTTCCTGACTGCTCATAGGAGCCGTCCCGTTGGATCCTGGTTTCCCTTGTATTGCTTCCGTCTCTGCAGCCTTTCTCTCAAGGAGGGCTGGACAGCCATGTTAGCCAGTTTCCTATTTCTGTGGCACTCAGTGGATCCACCCCCACACCCCTTGGCCTCACAGACCAGGCTGTGATGCTTACAGAGCTTGTTTAAAAGTCCTTCCAGCCCAAGCAGTCACATAGTGTTTGGTACGAGGTCATGATTAATGTTCACCTATATGCTGGACCACAGATATTCCCCTCCTTTGTATGAAAGGTCAGTCCCAAGGGTATCTTTTATCAGTTTCACCTGTTCTTCTCCTCCTTGTTATCCAGCTGCTCTCCCGGGCCCCAAGGACTCTTTAGTCTGATTCATGTGGTGTATGTCATTGGCAAGAACATGGAGGACACTTCATTTGCATACTCAGGGGTAACAGGAGAAGGAACTTTATGAGGTCACGTAGAAAGTCAAGTCCACGTAAGGACTTCTTATCTGACTGGGTAGTCAGATAAGCAACCAGTCCCTGTAGCCTTGGAGACCCGTGACCTTCTCAGTTGCTCTGTGAAAGGGCACGTCTACACTTGGGATCTGCTTGGTCAAGGCCAGGGAGCAATCGTGTGGCTCTCAGAATGAGAAAATCTGGGTTTGGGGCATGCTTCAACCCCTTCTTAGCTTCACGAAGCCACTCCTCCTCGACCCATCTTTGATTCTGTCAGTCCCTGTTCATGGACCGACTGTGTGGTGTGACTTTTCCCGAGGAGGCACAAATGAATGACAATGTCTATAACAGAGAGGTCCCGGATGATAGACTCAAGAAACAACTCCACTCCGGTCTAGCTCGGTGCACCGGTGAGTTTATCAAGGCGGCTTACTGGAATAAGAGTACGAGCCCGCAGGACTGACTGAAAGGAAGCTGCCTCACCATGAAGCCCCTCCAGAGGCATAGGAGACAACTGGAGTTCCTTACACCATTAAAGCTGGTGGGTCCCCTGGTAACTTGTGCCCAGCAATCATATATCCTGGGGAGGGGGAGAATATCCTTTAGGTTTCAGCTTTCTGGGTCTTGTAAGTTTTGATTAGTCCCCAAATCCTAGCCAGCTTCCCTCTCTCTTCCTGGTAGGGAAAGTTTCGGTTTGGAGGAGCTTGCTACACCGCAGCTGGATTCTCTGGTGCGAGCCCCCTCACCTCGCTGTAGAGGGGAAGAGAGAAGAGGACCAAGTGGCCAAGGCAAGATGAAGTTCCCTAGGGCTCTTCTTCCAACCAGGCCTGCCTTGTGTCATTCCACCTTCAGCTATAATGCGAGTCCACCAATGGCGGAGCCCTCGGGATCTGACCAGCACTGCAAATGTTCTCACAGACAGCCAGGAGGTGACTTCACCAGTCCCTCGAGTGTTTGTTTCCCAATGCGATAAATTTGACAATCAAATTTAACCACAACAAGGAAGTTCTAGGTGAAGGTGCCAGCAGGTCCGCGCCTGCTCTCTGGTTCATAGGTCTTTGCTTGTTTCCCCTGACAGAAGCAATGAGGGGCTTCCCAGTCTCTCTACAAGGACACGAATTTCACCCATGGGGAGTCTTCCTTCGTGATCTCTTAATGTCTCCCCATCTGGGAGACTAGGATCTCTCTCTCCCCCCCCTTCCCTCCCTCCCCTCTTTTCCTCCCTCCCTCCCTTCCTGGATGCATTAAAGATGGAGCTTGGCTAACCCATTCTATTCTCTTCCTTGGCATGAATGCAGGGAATGATCTTCCTGCACAGGAACCTTTTGATGTAGAGTTTATTTCACATGGGAGGTTGTGTCTAGATGGTCACCATTTACTTTTCAGTGTTCCTAACTAATCCAAGACCTAAGCAAACTGAAGAAGTTATCAAACAAATATCCACTCGTGCATACTAGAGGTCTCCCTTTTCCCTGTCACTTAAATTTCCGATATTTGTACATTCACAGGATGTGTGCCACAGCCCCCGGGGTCCCGGAGCGCCCACATCCCAGGGTGGTCCATGACACGCTGGTGGCTCTCACACCACTATCCGTGTGGGGAGACAATGAATGCCCTTGGCCCTGGTCTCTCTAGCCCTGTAAAGAAGCCTCCCTCTTGCTCACTTGCTTCCTGTCCTTTAGGGCTGGCTGTGGCCGTCTGTGAGACAGGGCTGGCTGTGGCCATCTGTGAGACAGGGCTGGCCGTGCAGGCTCCACGGCTGGCTCACACTTTTCTTGTCTTTTTGGCTGCTGGCAGAGCTCCTCCTCCTTCTCCATCCAGCATGTTCTGTCCTCCACACGTCTTGGTGGCTTTGAGAAGGGCTCTTTGTTCACTATCAAGGGAAATCTGTAGTCTCTTCAGTTTGGAAGTTGCCTCCTACCATACTCTGGCAAAGCCCGTCTCAGAAAAGGACTAAAGAGCCGAGGGAGGTGGGCACCCATGGGGACGGGAGGCGGGCAGCCACAGGGTCGGTACCCATATGGAAGGATTAGCCCCCAGATTGCATTGCTGCTTGGGCCTGTCTGAGCCTATGATCTGGCCAGTACAGAATTGATAGACTAGAAGATTCTGGGTCCTTCTGCCCCAAACCCTAATTATGTCCTTATACATGTATATAACCAACAAAATCTCAGGGATTATTGCCTTTGGGTAGTAAAATATTAGAAGTGGTTTTATTGGGGGGATCATTTGGTTGGTTTTGGTTCTCTGTATTTTGCAAATAATCTACACAAGGATTTTTTTTTTTGATTTATTTATTATGTGTACAGCCTTCCATGTGTGCTCACATGCCAGAAGGGGGCACCAGGTCTCATTATAGATGGCTGTGAGCCACCATGTGGTTGCTGGGAATTGAACTCAGGACCTCTGGAAGAGCAGTCCATGCTCTTAACCACTGAGCCATCTCTCCAGCCCCTACACAAGGATTTTAATGGAGGTGTTTGTCGTGTGTGTTCACATGCACAGTTTTGTAAGTCTATAAAGAAATGCAAACATTTTTTAAAAGAGGAAATGAAACAAATTTTTAAAGTCAAACAAACAAAGGCAAGGGATGGGTTTGCAGCTGGAAATCCTCAATCCAAGGACAGTAGCTCTGCAGGGGCAGCCTGAGTTCACAGCCAGGCTGGAAACCTTTGTACATTCTTCTGGCGCCACCTGCTGACTTTTACAGGAAAGGCAGCTTAATTTAGTATGCAAAGGAACCCGGACTGGAGAGGCAGGAAACAGCAGTGGGATACATTGTGTATACAATCTCACCTGTCCTCACCTACAGAACTCACTTTTAATTTTGCTTTTCCATCGTGATCATAACACGAACATTCTGGAAAGTCTCAGTGTTTAAGGCCTTGGAACAGTCACCCATACCTAGCCTCCCGCCATTGTGTGGATGCAATGATTCTAGGACCTCCTCCTCAACTGTGCCTGAGCATGGGTGGTAGTAAAGGCCTCAAGGGAAAACATTTTTAGGGTCATCATCTGTGCAAAGCTGGTTTCTGCTGCATCTAGCTCTACCTCCCTACGGGTCTGTAGCCTAATGGCCTTGGGGCTAACCTTGACCCTCAAGTATCCCTAGGGACCCCAAACAGCTCAGAGTTCTGGGAAATCCTCACGTTTGTCTCTACTCACTCAGTCTGGCTTTCCCATCTAAGCAGGAGAAGCCTAGCAACTCTTCCATCTGTATGGGCTCCAGCTACAGGGTATGGGGATACAGGCAAAAGCCAGTCCTTCTTAATTGTCCCTTTCCTTGCAGGCTGCATGAAAGAGGCCCCTTGTGGAGGCTTGTCTTAAGTGTCAGGACAACAGGTGTGTCCAGAAGGCTTCCTTAAGCCCCCTTGGCTGTAGGCAATGGAAACCACCCAAGCTATAAATCTGAATATTGTTCTCAGGTCTTTTTTTTTTTTAACTTTTTTAACTTCAAGATCTTCACGTGGTTTTATCAGGGAAGAGACTTTAATCTTCAAGGATGGAGGAGTGACCAGGGAGCCCTTGATTGGTCCTGCTGCGGAGGGAAGGGCTGCCCAGTGGAGAGGCCCCCTCCCCCAGCAGTGCCTATATAGCTGAGTGGTGGCCTGGAGAAAGTGTTCCGGAGAAGTGTGGATTCCTGGCTCCAGACATTACAGTAGCAGAGAACGGAGGTATGTGGCAGGGGTTTCCCAGGCCCAGCAGTGGCTTGTGACTTCCCTTCCTGTCGCCGGGTCTCAGGCAGGGAAGCTATGAGGGCCCCATCCTAGCTGCCTCTGTCTGCATTCCTATGCTGTGGTGCTACCTCGGGGCCAACTGGCGGGATTTTTGTTCCTGCTTTTAAGCCCTTATCTGTAAAAACTAAGTCCTTTCTCAAGAAATCTGTGCTTTTATTTTTTAAAAATATTTGACTCACTCTTAGACATTTTCCATGATATCACTTTTAAGATTTCTCCTATTATGGTATGGGTGGATATCATGGGATATCCTATGTGGGGATATCATGGGGGTACAGCCCCTATGTGGAAGATCAATAAATATTAACTCCCTACTTGGACCTCTCTGGGAAAAAGTTGATTTGAGTTCGTTGTGATTGAGGTGGGAGGTGCTGGAGGCTGGATACTTTAGCTGCCCAAGGGCTGAGACCCACAAGGATGTGCCGGCAAGGATGGGGCCGTGAGGTCCCTCTGCATCCTCCAGAGGTGACTGGGTAGGTATGGTCTACTTAGGCTGGGATGGGCTTGTGTCTTTGCTTATTGTTTGTACAATAAGCACCAGTATTACCCCCAGAGTTACACACTCCAACAGAAGTATCGAGCCTGTCTGGGGATGCTCTATAGAGAGCGATGGAGACATGCCTGCTCTGGCCCTCCAGGGACCCACAGTCATTCTTCATCTAGGTGACAGCCTGACCCACTGTGCTGTAGGAATCTCTCTATGTCCCTGATCACCACAGACAAGATCTTGGTGCTGGAACACTCTGAGGTTGGTTTCCACAGTGACTAGCTTCGGGAGCAAGATGTCACAGCTGATACAGCTGGTGACGATGGGGGTGGGGGGGGAAGCTTCTGAGATCAGCAGCTCTTTGGACCTGGGGATAACCTTGGCAGTCTCCCAAGTCTTGCTAACATTCCTTTCCTCTAATGAAGGAGTTCTCAACCTTCTTAATGCTGCGACCCTTTACTTTAGTGCTTTTTGCCGTGATGACCCCCAGCCATAAAATGATTTTATTGCTACTTCATAACTCTAATTTTGCTACTGTTATGAAATGCAGTGTGAATAAGTGATAGGCAGTAAGTATATCTGATGTGTGAGCCCAGAGGGCTCGAGACCCACAGGCTGAGAACCATTGCTCTAATGTCTCTTGAAATCCCTTAATGGCCCTGATTTCTGTTGAGTTAGGAGTCGTCATGCCCCCCCCCCCCCCCCCCCAGCAACACAAACCATCAGCAGTACCTGCCTCTGGCTTCCTCATGGGCAGTGGGACAGTTAATGGTGTCTGCTCTCAGTATCAATGTTGAATTCAAGTTGGCCACTTACTACGTACGGTACAGTTCTGGGCAAATTACTTGGTATCTCTGAATCCCAGAACTTCTTACAAAAATTAAATAAAAGTACTTTCTCCTTGTAAGAATTAGATCATATCACAGAAGGACTCGAAATAGCAGCTGACATTTAATAAGTGTGTAACTAAAAGCTATTAGGATGAGCACATTGTCCCCTGGGCGAGATTGGGAAAGCCTCCAACAACACATTTTGATGGTGATGTAGGAGACCCAGACCCGAGGCTCTGCAGAGATGGCTGTGTCTGTTCTCCCTTTCCCCTCCAACTTGGCCTCCTCCTCTCACTGATCCCGTTAGAACCAGCAGCTGGTTTCTTAGAGGAGACAGTGGAATGGATCTGGACCAGTGCCAACTCAGGGAAATCAATAGGAAGTAAGGAAGACTGAAAACACAGCCTAGATCAGGTCCTTTGGTTCCAACTCTTACCTCCTAGGGGTTGTTGACTTGAAAGACCTGGGCAGCACAAGGGAAAGCTACCTACATGGTGCATCTGTTTTCCTACGCATGGTTAACAGCTTGCAAATAGCCGTGTGCAGCTTCTCTTTTGCCCCAAACAGTGAAGAACAGACCAAGTGGAGCAATCCCTGGGCAAAAAAAAAAAAAAAAAAAAAAAAAAAAAAAAAAAAAAAAAAAAAAAAAAAAAAAAAAGAGATCTGGTAATAAAGTTGACCCAGGTGGCCTGTGCGTGAGACATCATTATGAGCTGAGGCTTCCTTTAAATCTGTCACCTCTTGGAGGGCGGGAGTCCGAGGCCTGTGGGGAGGATAACAGCCCAGTCTTTCCCTTGCAGATTCTGACGCCATGAAGAAGCACCTGGGCACATGGGGGCTGGCGGTCCTCTGCATGCTGCTAGCCAGCCACCTCTCCGCGGTCAAGGCAAGGGGCATAAAACACAGGTTCAAGTGGAACCGGAAGGCCCTGCCCAGCAGCAACCAGATCACCGAGGCCCGTGTGGCTGAGAACCGCCCAGGAGCTTTCATCAAGCAAGGCCGGAAGCTGGACATCGACTTCGGAGCAGAGGGCAACAGATACTACGCGGCCAACTACTGGCAGTTCCCGGATGGGATCCACTACGAAGGCTGCTCTGACGCCAATGTGACCAAGGAGATGCTGGTGGCCAGCTGCATCAACGCCACCCAGGCGGCCAACCAGGCTGAGTTCTCCCGGGAGAAGCAGGATAGCAAGCTCCATCAGCGAGTCCTCTGGCGGCTGATCAAAGAGATCTGCTCCACCAAGCACTGTGAATTCTGGCTGGAACGGGGAGCTGCGCTGAGGGTCACTGTGGACCAACCAGCAATGGTCTGCCTGTTGGGTTTCATTTGGTTCATTGTAAAATAAACAATGAGGCTAGCAGCCACAGAGGTGAACTGGTGGGCAAAGGTGGACAGTGGTACCCTAGTTCTCACTCTCTAGCCCCCACGTGTCATGAAGGTACCAGCGTGTAGCAATTCATGGCATTTCAAAAGTCCCTCCCAAGTACGCGTCCTCCCAACCATGTGTTTAATACGGTGTTTCAGTGCTTTTGCAACTCCGCTAGGTGATAGACCAGGGAAAGAACACAGAAACCGTGCTGCGCACTGCACCTCATCTCCCAGCTCGTGGAGGTAGCCAGGAAAACTAGGCTTTCCGTTGCTGAAGTCAACCCCCCCCCCCAATACAGACAGGAAGCAGCAGAGCCGGGGTTCTCCTGGTCTGTCTCCCCTCAGGTTTTCTGCTCTGTGTAGCCCAGAGCTATCTCATGATCGCTTCCGGACTCACAGGTCCAAGTCCGGGTTTGTGTGTGGAGTGGGAGTCCCTGAGCAGCAACTATGCACCTTGACACCTTCCAGTAAGACTGAAATATTACAAAGACGTTAAACTAAGTAGGCCACTACACTAGACAAAGGTTCAGAAATCAAACTGCGGGGAAATATGCCACTCACCTCCCAGAGAGCAAGTTCGGGGCAGGCTGTGTTTGTGGTGCCGAGATTCTAGTCCACAAGGATTGGTGTTTGCTGCTCTGGTCCCTGCAATGATCTGCAGAGTTAATGAACCCCTTGTAAATGACATGTTTGCGGCTTTGTTTTTTATTTCTTTGCTCTGTTTTTCTAGATGGGAATCTCTCTAGGTAACCCGGGTTGGCCTCAAACTCACAGTCTTCTGGCCTCTGCCTCCTGAATGCTGGGATTGCAGGCATGCCGCCAAGCCCAGATGCTTGTTTACTTCTGATGCCCCCCTGGTCCTGTGGGTGTGTTCTTAGGTATCCTGTGAGCATCTTTAAATACACTCCCTTTGTACAGAGTTCTTCGTAAGCTATCAGTTTTTGAAATCACTTTGGTAAGGGTTAGTCTCCGTGAATCATTTAATACTCCAAAAATATAATTACTGGTCAAAGAGCTTAAGGGAATGGTATTTTTCAAGAGACTCAATAAAGAATTTGTCATCACAGGAATCGATATACTGTTCTACCACTCTGAAGGTAAATATATATTAAAATATGACTATTATTTAAAATTTTTAAAAATCTAACTCTTTTAGTTTCTTTCACAGGCCCTCCTCCCCTTTTGGGGCCCCCGGGATTTGCTGAGTATCGGGGTGTATTATCTTTTAAAAGGAGCAACATCTGTGAGGAGGGGTGGGGTGGGGAACACACGTGTATTGTCAAAGGGTTCATCCGCAGCACTTCAGAACAACGTGACCACTGATATCAGCACCTCGTGTGCCCAGTTCCCACTGCTATCGGGTCTTCTCAAGGACACCTCTGGGGAGCTTCCCGTGGTAACGGGGTGTGAGGCGGAGAGCCCAAGGACACACAGCCTTCCACTGGACATTCAACCAGTGGTCAGACAGCGCAGAGAAACCAGCCTGCGGCAGCAGTGCCCTGCCAGCCCAACACGCCTCCTCGGCTCCCACTGTCGACTAATCCTAAACCAGAGAGCAAGGAGAAGCCCTGAACACATGCCATCTTCACTATCGGGTAATAAAGAAAGAATGGTTCTTAGACGGTGGTGTTGGTGTGCCGTCAACTCCTGGCTCAAGGCTTAGTTATCAGGGTGGGCACACAAAGCTGATGGCAATCAACTTCCTTCTGATATTAAAAGCTCAGACTGGACGTAGTCCGTGTTCCGTGATCACTGTGTCCTCTCATGCCGTTGGTTGTAACACCAGCGCACTGAATCGCGACAGTTCACATGTGATCTGATTGCAAATTTTGCTTCTTTATTTTTTAGCCAAGACGCCCTTGCTCTCCCTGCTCAGAATGAGAACCTTCGAGTCTGGCTTTGTCTTCGCCGAGAGTTTACTTACTGGCTCCCCATTAAGAACAGGGCCCCTTAAGGCACTTCTAGATTATTCTGGTAGTGACTTGACAACATGAACGATTTTACCAACCATTGCTTTCTTATCCCTTCCATGTGTTACCAAGTTAGGGTGTGTGTGTGTGTGTGTGTGTGTGTGTGTGTGTGTGTGTGTGTGTTGTAGACCTGCTGCACAAACTGGAGCAGAGCGGAAAGCAGCTGTGCTTCAGGTCCAATTCTGTCAGTGCTGTCTGCCCTTCTCACTCCCTGGTCCTTTACTCATTCGCAAATGCAAATGCAGAAATTTGCAGTCCTAATGGAGGCGCTGGATACCAGAAAGCTTTCTTTAACCTCAGTTGTTGCTTTCTGTCCATTTTTAAATGACTTTTGTTTTCCTGTTTCTCCAGCCCCACCCTCTCCTTTCTACCCTGGTTTGAGGTGTGAACCCCTTTGCTGTTTTAAATATAAAGACAACGGTTTTGATTTTGCTTCGTTACAACCTTTAAAACACTACAACCTTGTGTGTGATTTTGTTTCTCTGCAGTTTACCTTCCTGACTAATAGACTGCCATTGAGTCCCCGGACCGATATCTAACTAGGTAACATGCCCTTCTGGGCGACCGTGAGACGTCCCACAGTACAGATGTGCTATGACTAACTTAACAATTTCCTTGTTGGTAGAACTTCAAGTTGTTCTCATCTGGCAAACAATAAACACCTCATACAGACAGTCGCAGGCCTGGTCGTTTTATTTCTGTAGAAAAGATTTGCTCCCACAAAACCCTAAAACACAGCAGGTCTGTAACTCAAACTTTCCTTGGTATCCCCTGTTGTGTGGGGAAATAGCTAGTGATGCCCGCTGACCCAGCATCATGAGAATGATCTCTTTGAAGTGTGAGAAACTGATGTTCCCTCCAACACTGTTTCTGCATCTGCTGTCCTCGGCAGATGGTACACAAAAGCTTCCTGAGGACCGGGAGGAACATTCAGACAGCATGAAACTATCAGCATTGTCTACTCCAGACCTGATCCTTGGCTCAAAACACGAGGAAGGGAAACCTGAAAATTAGGCAGTGGGCCTTCCACTCCAAGAACAGTGTCTGGGGACTCCACCTCCATGCCCCCAGCAAGAGGGGACTCCCGGGGTAAAGTTTAGCCCTAACCTTTTGACAGACTCAGTAAAGTCATCCATGCCTGTCTTGCATTCCAGTGAGAATGTTCCAGATTGTAAGGCTCAATAGGAACAGGATGGAGCCAGTCACCGTAGCCACCCTCCCCTCTCAGCTTAGGCAAAAGATCAATCAGCATCTCTCTCAAGCTCCTGGTACCTGACATGGCCCAGGAGGCAGATGCCAGCCTGCAGAATCTCCTCCTCTGGGCCTCGTGAGATGTGCCCCTAGCGGTGGTTGTGACCCTACCTACCCCAGACTCTCAGGATCTGGCTTGGGTAGTGGCACATTGAATCAGAGACCTGCAGTACGGACACACCCACACCTCTACCCAGCACTTTTTCTCTACTACTGTGCTAGGCAAGGGTGCCCTAAGGTGCCTGGTTATGTCCATCTGGCACATTCTGGAGTCTGCCAGGGTCTGTACACCAGCAGAATGGCTCACATGCCCCAAGGCAGACAGCATTGTAACAGAGCCCACTTGTCAGGAGAATGATCAAGAAGGTCTCCACTGATGCATCATTGTGACCAGTTCCATAGCCCCCCACTAGAAGCTTAGACACAGCTTTATTGGAAAACAGACCTGTTGGTAAGCCTGGCCAAGCCAGCAACCACATGCTTACCCCTCCTGCCCTAAGGCAGGATCCATTTCAGGGCAGAGATCTATTTCAGCTGGGCACCCGAATTGCTTGAAGAAGGCAAAGGATCAGACCAGCCGACCTTTGGGAATTCGGGAACTTGTCAATGGGAGTAAGTCAGCCTTGGAACAGTGAGGTGAAGCAACTGTGCTTCAAGGCCTCTCTAAGCCCATCCTAAACTGTCCAAAGAAGGCTCCAGGGAAGCACACACAGTTGGTCCCTTAGCAAATAGGAATCATTGCTTGGACTTGGGACCTCAGGGGTAGTGTCACCTCTGAGTAGAAATAGGCAAGAAAGCCCAAGGTCCCACCCTCTGGACCCCAAAGCCCAGAATCTGTCACAGAAGCACTGAGCCCAGAGATGGCTGGAAGGACTGGTTTTTAGTTGCTGCAAGCTTCAGACCAGGATAAGCCACGTGCGCTGACCACCCTCGTTCATAAAGACCGTCATGGTTGGCACAAAGGTGTCCCTCACACCTGTGCATCTCTCAGTACTCAGCTGTCATCACCTTCCCCAAGATGCCTTCCCTGTGCACTGGTCTCCCTTGGCCCGCCCACCTGGGGATTCCCAGATTCTATTTTGGTACTAACCCTTTTATGGAAGAGTCGCCTTCTTAAACAATGTAGATTGTTTAAACTCCAGCTGACTTGGCCAAAAGCTGTGAAAGGAAATTATTAGGAGGCAGAAAGGAGCTAGAGGAAGCAGGAAACAAGCAGGTCAGGGCCGAGGTACTAACTATCACAGCTGGCCTCCCTGGAGGGAGGGGGAGGGAGAGAGGGAGGGAGGAATGGAGGGAGGAATGGAGGGAGGAATGGAGGGGTGGGAGAAGGTCAGAATGATGAAGGGCAGGGGGGAGAGCGCACCCATGGGTGCCCAAGGAAGATGTCCCCACTCATGCTCATTAGAGATGAAGTGAGTACTGGGACTTACCAGAGGAGGATGTTAGCCTCCTGCGCCCCAAGTGACCCCTGTGAGCCAATTCAGCACCTCGGAGAAGGGTTTCAAGAACAAAGCAGGGGATAACGTTGGGTCAGATAGGCAAGAGCTGCCTCAGTGTGTGGTTCTAGAATTTCTAAACCTATAATTAAGCTTCTTACATTTTTAGCTGGTTTTTTTTTTCCACTCTGTGTTACCTAGCACTCAAAAACAAAAAGGAATAGGATATAGCTTAATGGTGGTGCATTCGCTAAGCATCCACGTGGCCTTGGATTCAACCCAAAGGACGAGAGAGAGAGAGAGAGAGAGAGAGAGAGAGAGAGAGAGAGAGAGAGAGAGAGAGAGAATATGAATATGGGGAAATGGGGGGAAACGAAAGCCTGAAAAAACCAAAACAAGTCCTTAAGTCTGGAGAATTTCTCAGCAGGTAAGAGCATTGACTGTGCTCCAAGGGCCTGGGTTTCTTCCCAGGAACCACATGGCAGCTCGCAAACTGTCTATGACTCCAGTTCCAGCAGATCTGATGCTTTCTTCTGCCCTCTGCAGGTACCAGGCACACATACTGTTCACAAACATACAAACAGGCAAAACACGTAAAATAAAATTCAAAAACAACATCAACCATGTCCTCCCCTCTGCTTTCCTTTGAACAGGAGGCAAAGGGTTAGTGGACTTTCCCTAGCCTTTGGCCCACTTAGAATGACCAAAGGGCAGTGGCCTCTCCCATCCCCCACTCCTGTGTTAGCAGCATTTTCTGGGCTTCTTTGGTTTCTGAGTAGAATCAAAGAAGTACCCTGGTTGAACTTGGTGTTGTCTGTAGTTTTGGTCCTCTTAGTGGAGAGAATGCTGGCCTGCACAGACAGATGCTCCCAGAAATCCAGCTGCCGGGCCTCATCTGGTGCAGGCTTTAACTGCCATCATTTTTCTATAGGGCCCCCATATGCAAATTTCACGGCCATTAGTCTTTTATTTATCAGATTTTCCCCCTCTGGGTACCAGCACAACTTCTCACTTAGGATCAGTGTTTGCCTCACCCAGGGCTTCTGTGAGCTCATCTTGCCTTCCTCCCATTTTCATATCCACAAACTCTGCCTACATGTGCAGCTCCTATGCTGTGCTGGACCACACATAGGGGACAGAGACATAGTTCTTACATATGTACCCACGGATAGCCAGAGGTGTGTCGGTGCACCATTTGAGGGTGGAGATAAACCTTTGTCTCCTTCTATGGTGTAAATGGCAACATGGCCAATTTCGAGGTCCCAGCTTGACATCCTAAATGTGGAGTGTGGGTGAACTCATATGGAGAAAGCTCGGGAGCCAGTCTCACCAGCTCCAACACTGTCGCGCCCCGCGTCGACCCGCAAGGAATGACGCGACCACCGGAGCTCTTCTCACTGCAGTTTATTCCAGGACTTTATTTACTTTCTCTCTCTCTTCTCTCTCTCTCCTCTCTCCTCTCTCCCTCTGACCTCTCTCTTCTCTCTTTTGACCTCTCTCTTCTCTCTTTTGACCTCTCTCTTCTCTCCTTTGACCTCTCTCCCTGGGCAAACCTCTTTCTCTCTCTCTGGGGCAAACCTCTCCCAGCCCTTAAGTAGGCATGGGCTGCCAATCCCGGATTGCCAGGTGGGCACTGCCCATAGGTCCATGCATATGCAAGCAGCTGATAATCATTGTGTGATCATAGCATAAGTCAGGCCTTAGCCAGCTCAGGAGTTGATTATACATCTCCATCAGGTGTGACACCACGCAGCTCGCTACACAACACAATTTCCAATTTAAGTTTAATTTATAGCCTTTACGTATATTAGTTAATTTCCATAAACAGTTTCTATAGCCTTCCCAACTCAGAGCCCACAGCAGCTCAGCTGCATGGATGAGAGGCTGTCCCCTTAGCCAGCTGGAGACCCAGTATCAGGCGGGCCCAGGATGAGCCGAGCCCAGAAGAGATGTGGCACAGGCCACCGATGGAGCTGTGGACGTCCTGTTACATGTCCCATGGCTTACCGGGCTGTTCAGACATCAGCATGAGGGAATCACTACCACCAGCTTTTTGTCTTCAAGGCCTAAGGGAGACATAAGAAAGTTCTAGCTCACCCCAAATGTCCTCAGGCGTAGCTCAGTGGTGGAGGGGAGGAGAGATGCGTGGAGGGCAGGGCCCAAGATTTTCGCAGTTGCCCTGTCGACACCTTACTTGGCGAGGACATTGGTGGGCAAGAAACATGGAAGGCCTTAGGAAGGTGGAGGCTGTAGTGGGAAACTGCTTGTTTCGTGCCCAGCTGTTCAGCCCCAGAATAATCACACAGAAACTATATTATTTAAATCACTGCTTGGCCCATTAGTTCTAGCTTCTTATTGGCTAACTCTTATATCCTGATTTAACCCAAATTTATGAATCTGTGCATCACCATGAGGTCGTGGCCTACCACAAATTTCCAGCGCATCTGTCTCTGGTGACTCCATGACTTCTCCTTGACTCCGCCTTTCTGGCGGCCCCATCATTTCTTACCATGTTTCTACTTCAGCTACTTTGGCAAAAAGATAGGTGACTCCACAAATGCCAAGCCTAGTGAGCAGGTTAACCAACCTCTGAAGTTCTAGAATACCGGTGTCCTTCCCACCTACCGGTGACACTGGCTACATTACTTACTCTTCTGTTGCTGTAACAACATGCCTAATAAACACAGCATAAGAAAGAGAAGGCTCATTTGGGCTCAGTTAGCAGGTGCAGCCCATCATAGAAAGGATGGCGTGGCCGCAGGAGCCTGAGTCAGGGTCACATTGGTCTGTAATTCAGGAGCAAGGAGATGAATGTGGCACTCTGCTCCTGTGAGGGTTCGAGTGAGAATGGCTCCCAGAGGCTCATGTGTTTGAATATTTGGTGC